CCCCCCCCGCCTCCCGCCCACGCGTGTCTTGTGCGTGGGTGGTGGAACGCCACACACACCTCCTTAGTCTTCGAAGCGGGAGGCGATGATGTTCCTGCGCGGATTTGGGGAAGGATGCAGCGCCCGGCGCGTTCATTGAGGCGTATTTAGCTGGCCAGCGCTTTTATTTCTTCAAATAAAGCCTTCACAAGCTCCTATAGCTCTGTACATCCCTCAAGTGCATCTATTGCTGTGGAGCTTTAAATCCACAAATTCCTGCTACACATTTACCGCAGCCCATCCTGCTATCCTAAAACATCCGGAACAGAGTCCTACCCCATTTCCTAAAGGTTATTCTGCTTCTAAAATACCTACCTTAGGCACGTGCATCATGTGCATCGTGTCACAGCAGGTATTCTTCCCCCTCCCTCCCCCCATCGTTACAGATCTGCATATCAAACCACTTTTTTTATTTTTTTATTTTACCCTATGGTCATGGCCAGCTGAAACACCAGCTTAGAATCAAAATAATTTTGTGGCCAAGATGGCTTGTAGCAGTTTGGTAAAGGCTTTGTGCATTTTGATGTACAGTGACAGACGGGCAATACAGCCTTCACCGGTGATTTAGCACAAAGACGTACAAATGCTATGTAAAACCATCTCCGTGTCAAGCTAATAAATTCCTAATGTGAGACGTTAACCTGCTGCGTTCAAGTTTTATTTTTTACGTATTGAAACATTGCCATAGCTTCCCCCCCCCCAAGACTTAACCAAATTAGGACTGAACTAATAAAACGTAGGTAAAGGCCTTACTATGTAACATGAATTATGATGTGTACAGCCTTTGGAGTTGAAGTGTGCAAAATCGTTTTGGTATCACCTTTTTCTTTGCGCCTGGCTATTGTGAATGGAGAAGAACATTACTGCGTGATCTGGCTTTCTTTATTGAACAAATATTTCCCCCAAACATTTCTTAAAGGGAAATTCAATGTCGAGAGCTGCTCACCCTAAAAAAAAAAGAGTAAAAGCTAAAGGCCTCTGCCAGATTCATGATTTTAAAATAACATCTATATAATGTCAAAAAGATAGTAATTTTTTTCACACCACAGATACATACCAGACAACACAAAGTGCAAAACCAACTGACTTTGCAAATCATTGCCAAGCATGCAAAATAATAGAAAAACAGAGCAGAACATTTTTCCCTCTACATTTTTTAATGCAACTTGTCTTCAGTAATGTTGCTAATAAGAGCAGGTCAGACAGCAGTACATATAAAGTAGAATATTCCAGAGCAACTTAATTTAAGACGGTGAGTGTAGCCTGCTCCTCTGATCATCTGCCGGCCTGTGCTGCCATCCGTTTGCAGTCGGAGGGTGCTGCCAGGGGGCTGGACTCCTTACTAGGGAAGGGCTTTGCACAAACACATTCCACTTCATCTGAACTGTTCACGGTAATTGACTGGTGGCCGATTCGAACAAAAAGCTGTTAGGAATTTTGTATCGGTATCTATAGCTCCCACTAATTACAATCAGTCATCAGTCCGGCTTTGAAGGACGGTTCGTGTTTTGTCTTAGTAAGAATGGTAAGACCAGACTTTATCACATCTCACCACATCGCGGTTTATGTTTATTTGAATCACACTGCTTTTTGAGATCATCACTGGATTTTTTTTTTCCCCTTTTTTTTACTTTTTGTGACATTAATGTAGTCCTTTTATGCAAACCCAGCTGCCCACTTGGCAGCGTGTGCATCTTCCTCAGTACGGATGCGATCAGGTGATTCTCCTTCTCAGTTTCAGGTGATTCTGCCTTCTCAGTTTCCTGGCACCGTGGCTTGTCTGGTCACCATGCTGTAAAAACATGCGTTTGTATACTTAGGTCTCAATTATGCCCAAGTTGAGGTCAAAAGGAAAATCATACTGACTGCAGGATCAGGCCCTTAGTTGTAACACACCGTGTATGTACAGTATTAGGCCTCATGATGCTGTGAAGAACGAACACTTAAGAGTTTCGGTGTGTGATCTGAAGAAATATCACTGGCCCGATACTTTGGCATAAAAATTAATGCCACTAAATCAATGAACTCTGAGCTTCAGAGCTCTGGCTGACAGAAGTCCTGGTAATGTTTATTTTGCCAGAAACAAAAAAGGCATGGCTACAGGCAGGTGGGTTGACAAAATAAGGCTTTCTCTATCTTTTGGTATGGTTGTCAAATATAGGCACAATACCTAAGAAAAGACAGCATAAAATGGAGGAAAAGAAAAACCATAAAATGGAGGAGAGGACAAAGATCTGAGCTATGGAATTACAAAGGTAAATAGACCAAGGCTACAAAAAAGGGATAGTCATCCCGAAAAACTTAGAAATGTACACAAACAGCATGATTGCACGTTACAGAAATTTATTCTTCAACACCCCCTTATCATTTATAGCATATTGAAATCTATAAATTAAAAACTAGCTCTAAAGGCAAAACAACTGCTAAAGATTCATTGCAAGATTATGTAGTACATGTAAGCTTAACTAGTTTTCATTACAAAATTTATATTTCCAATTCCCCTATCCAACCTCCCAGCCTGACTTTTTTTCTTTTTCCTTCCAAAAAGGACATGAGGCGGATTCAGACTGTCAGACAGCTATCAGATTTCACTACTTGTTCATGGTGTACACACATTTAAAAACCCTGTTCATTACAATTTCCAAGAGGAAGATAAACCGTATATTGAATAAAAATATGATAAAGGAAATGCATTAATACTTGAATATTTGTTAATCGGGGAAACAAACCACCTCGGCCCATGCAGGCTAGCATTTTTTACAGCTTGCACTTTCTTAGTCAAAACAAAACGATGCAACTCTTCAAAGTGAGGGGAAGTCGCTTAGCGTGGATAGAGGACTAATTAATAAAATTTAAGAGTTGGCATAAGTATTTCTGAGAAGTGTCACATTAGCATTTTTCCTTCTGTGTATTGCTCTTCACAGAGTTAAAAGATAATAATTTAAGATGATATTCCAGTGTCAATTTTCTGCAAAATTATTACTGACATCACGAGTTTCATCTACACATTAATGGAATACCCCTAGAATCTTTCTTTTAAGTTAGTATTGTGTCTTCTTTGTTACAAAATGTATTTTACTGAATAAAATGTTTGAAGCAGGTTAAGAACAGTAAAGAACAAGTAACTATTTTCTACAACATTTATTTCTTGCTGGGTCCATATCTGAAGAACAAACTTGATACTCCAGTATCAGTCACTGACATGATCACAGCATCAAAGAAAAGGAGGCTGCATACCCTGAAAGGCCCAGGAAAATTTCTCTCATGTCACAGGGACAGAAGTGCAATACAGTAAATAAGATACTGCCTCAAATCGAGCCATGATGTTGATTATTTATTCAGTATGGTTCTTGTAGACAGTCCTCATATCTGGTGAAAGTGCGGTACTTGCCACATATTTTAAAAAATATTTTATACTTCCAGAATTTTTTTGAATGTATTAATTTCAATAAATGCATTATTTGGCTATGGACAAGGATTATTCAATAAAACGTAGTTTATTTGCTCACAAACTGTTCTGATTAACAGTTCAGGAAATTAGCTTTTTAATTAAACATATGAAAAAAATTGATTTATTTCAGTAAGGTAAAACCTGTAGTAGCTGAATACACTATTGATTAGGTATTTAATATTTTTTATTCTGAGTTCAACCTGCAAAACATTTTTGCTACTAGGTTGTATTTTTGGAATTAAGTGACATTAATTTATTAAAAAAGAAGAAGGACTTATCTACTTACCTTTTGATTAGTTTTATTCTGCCTTGGTTTTATCTTCTATTTGTCAAAACTTCTGATTTTCTCCTCATACATGAAGAGAGTCACATATTCTTAGGCTGTAAAAAAAAATTAATCCCCCTTATATCTTTCACATTTAAATGATGCACTTTTAGCTATTAATAT